CTGCCCGGCCGCAGCGCTGGTGTGGCGCGGGGGGTTCCTGCCGTGTCACCGGCGCTTCCCGCAGCCGGGCAAAGCGGGAATTGTGTCCATTAGAAAGGAAAAAAAAAGGAGGGGGAGGAGGGGGATGAGAGAAAGAAAGTGCAGTGAGCTCTCGGTCTCTCACAAATGATTACCTCAACAGGTTTCCAGTTCCCGAGATGATGGCAGTGTGACTTACAAAATATTTGCATTGAAAAAGCTGTTTTGAAAGCAGAAATATGTAGAGAAGTACTTGCTGCTGGATGGCATCTCTGTTCTCATCTCTCATATGAACCTGTGGGAGGTAGGCATATGTATTATGAATTAGTGTGTGTATAAACATGATTAGCTAAAACCTTTTTTTCAGACTTTAAGGTGTTTTCTGAGGCACAATGAAACCTCAAAATGTGCCTCTCTAGTCATCTGTGGAGCTGGCATTTCAGCAGCAATATGTTGCTAATCTTTGTGTCAGGGCTTTTTTTGGCATTTGACTCAGAAAATTCTTATTACTGTTCTTTATTTCCACCTATATCAGCAAAATGTTTCTTATGCCAATCAAGTATTTTAAGATAATCTGCAGGTTTCATTTGATTTGTTTACTTAAAAGTTTGTCATACAACATTTGCTGTACCCAGTTGTTTTTCAGTGTTCAAGTCTTCACTCAAATATGAAATTCTAGTTCTCATTGCTGTAGCTCCAGCAACACAGCACATGCAGGTATTCACATTTGCAGGACAAACCCTGGAGCTAATCTCTTTCTCCAATTCTGTCTCTGTTAGAATAAATGCAGCATTTTGTATTGCTGCATCTGTGCTGACCCTATATTGCTGTTAATGATCGTGAAAGTCTTTAGGATCTAACAAATACCTAGAATGTCAGTTGCTAAAGATCTGGGTTGTCAGCTTTGGGCTGAACTCTGTTCCAGTTGCTGTATGAATGCAGCATAACTAAGTCTGATTAAAATAGCAGGGGTATTTGGGTTGGGGTGTTTTTTATTTTAGGGCTGTTGGGAGGGGTTTTTTTCCTCCTAGCTGGGTGTAGGGAGAGGGGTAAATGACAAGGAACAGTTGGCAAATTCCCTGATAAATATTGATGCCTATAGAGAAGTAGGAAAAGGAGCCAGTTTTTCTAACTGCAAGGAGTTCTGGATACGAGATAGATAACATAAGAAGCAGTTATTTATTCCAGCAGCAGGCAATCCGGGGTGTGACTACAAAGTAGTTTAATCCAATCTAAATCCAGACTGTGGCAGTCCTGCCCACGGCTAGTCTCATGTTCCCACTGCCTCCTTGTGCTGGTAGTAGTGCTCCAGGAGCCTTGCAGTGAGCTAGCTCCAGTTTTAATTTCGAGGTTGTCTTTTTTAGGGGGGTTGTTGCTTTTTTGAGGAAGTAGGGAGCTACTTTGGCATACTCAACTGTGTAGCATAGAAGTGCTAATACTGGTACAAGTAAGCAGCAAAAATACATGGCCAGAGAAGGGGAAGGCCGGAGTATCCTTCTGTGTGGCAGTGCAGATTTACATCACTGTTACATAACCATGACTTCATGTTACAATTTCAAACCTATTGCTGCTGTTGAACACAGGAGTTCTGTCTTCCTTTTACTGATGTTTTCTGCTCCTGTACAGACTTCCTTGAAGTACCATGCCATTTGAAGTGTTGTGTGTAGCTGATCTGCATTAAAACTAGCACAACAAAAATACCTTCAGCATTTAGTTTTAAACTGCATGGTTGGCTGGTACAGTTTGCAGTAAGGCTGCTTGTGCTGGAAGAAAGGGAAGGGTGAGGTGGATGCACAAAGGAGTGTCTAGAGTATGGAGTAATTATAGGATCGATTCTTCTAGTTACAGTTTCATCTTAAAGTGCCACTAGTAATGACTTTCGTTGAACCTTTCTTACTGCTTGAATTCTGAATTTTAGGGAGCTGCCAGTGAATTTGCTACCATTCTCCCTGTTTTTTCCCATCAAATAGAAAATCAGGTGCAGTGCTACAATTCTGCCTTTGGATCAATTACTTTTAGTACCCGCAGTCCAGATAACAGCAGAACTCTTTGTTAATGCTCCCAGTCTCAGTCAATAAGTAGAAGGATGGAAGTTAGGTATAAGTTTTAAATACTGTTTTTCAAATTGAGGTTTGAATTTGCATGAATGAAATTAAAGCCTTCATTTTCTATGAACTGTGAGTCACATGGAGTTGAGCTCTATTTCCCCCATTAGAAGCTGAACATAGTCTTTTAAATCCCATTGCACTCATTTTTTGAAGTTACCTTTTATATACACGGGACATGCTTTTTACTAGGTAAATTGCTACAGGTGTCAGTGGAGAATTTCAGAAAAGTACCAACTC